GGAAAGGAAAGGAAAGGAAAGGAAAGGAAAGGAAAGGAAAGGAAAGGAAAGGAAAGGAAAGGAAAGGAAAGGAAAGGAAAGGAAAGGAAAGGAAAGGAAAGGAAAGGAAAGGAAAGGAAAGGAAAGGAAAGGAAAGGAAAGGAAAGGAAAAAAAGAAATTCAGCATCCTTTTTCTAACTTTTCCATACTCTATTGAAAGCATCACCAGTCACTCAGGCTTCAATCCCAGTCCTCTTGTACTCCTCTCTCCTTTAGACCTGGAATCCAAACTGGTGCCATGCCTAGTCAATTATATTTCAGAAATCTCTTTCTAACTGTCCCCCACCTTCTCCCCCCATACACACACACTTCACATAAACACATATTTTTTTCTATTTCCATAATTCAAATTCAGTCCTTTATCATCTCTTCCCTAGACTACTTGGAATAGTCTTATAATCAGTTTTCCTGCCTCTAGCCTCTCTGTGTTCCTAGTCATCCTTTACACCATTGCCCAAGCAATCTTCTCATTGCACTATTCTTCTATGCAGAACCACTCATTGGTACAGATTTCATTGCTATGAAAAGTAGCTCCCCAATCTGTTCCCTGACTATATATCTTGGTTTTGTTTTGTTTTGTTTTTTTGCTTTTTGGTGAGGCCATCAGGATTAAGTGACTTGCCCAGGGTCACACAGCTAGTAAGTGTTAAGTGTCTGAGGGCAGATTTGAACTCAGGTCCTCCTGAATCCAAGCCCGGAGCTCTATCCACTGTGCCACCAGGCTGCCCCGGGACTATATATCCTGAACAGGATTTTCTGTTCACTTACTTTAAATGTTTTCATCTATCAGCAAACTCATCCCAGGAACTTAGCATGTGGTCTTTAACACAATGAATGTTTATCACTTTTTTGAAAATTAAATTGAATCTGTAATTTCTGCAAAGGAATTAAAGTTATTTTTGATACATGTTTTTACTTGGGGTTAGCAATTATACTTATAGCTTAGTGTTTGAAACAATTGACCATGAGACCTCCAAGAGCCTTTGGCCATAATCTGGGATGACTATCTGTTTTGGCAGATGAAGAACCTGAATTACTCAAGATCATCTGGTGAGTTGATTCAAGAGCAGTTCCTAAAGTTTAGGTTTCTTACATCTTAGTCTAACTCAGCTAAGACAATCTTCAACTATCTATGGATAGTAATTCTTCTCATTAGAAGTTTTAAACTTATAGTCTCTACTAATGCACTGAATACATTACATACTATGAACAAGGTCGAACACTTCAATTGCCTTATGAACAGAAGAGGCCACAGTACGGAGACTTTCTTTCAGGGACTCCACATTCTTACTTTTGATTGCTTCAAATATATCTGGAATTACCTTAAAGGAAAACAAAGCAAATACAGTCAGAGTCTCCTAAAACTGCAAAAACTCATGACTCTCAATTCCAAAAGTATATGTCATATTCTAATTTTTCTTCCTTTTCTTGTATTTTTACAAAATGTGTCAAATAATCTGACCATCTTCCATTTTGTTCATGCAATTCTCCTATTTGTAAATTCATCTGTTATCAGTCTGTATTTTTATGCATTTGCAATTTAGATCACTTTATTGCTCAGAACTGGCTTCTTGATTTTTTTTCTTGTCCCCCAGCTGCCTTCAGTAATGCTCAGGACTTCAGACACCAATCTGCCCAATGGAAAGAGAACACTTGGTAACTGGACTACGAGCACAGTGGAACTGCCAAGTAGCAAGTTAAGAATAAATGGGTGAAAAAAATGTTCTAAATCACTGTGATTAGAGAAAGTTGAATTAAAACAACTCTGAGGTACTACCTCAGATCTATCAGATTGGCTAATGTGACAGAAAAGGAAATAATAAATACCGAAGGGGATGTAGAAAAATAAGGACACTAATGCACTGTTGGTAGAGTTGTGAACTGATATAACTACTCTGGAGAACAGTTTGGAACTATGCCCAAGGGGCTATAAAACTGTGCATACCCTTTGACCCAGCAATACCACTACAGGGTCTGTATCCAAAACAGATCAAAGAAAAAGGGAAAGAATCTATATGTACCAAAATATTTACAGGAGCTCTTTCTATGATGGCAAAGAATTGGAAATTGAGGGGATGCCATCAATTGGGGAATGCCTGAACAGGTTGTGATATAAGATTGTGATGGAATATTATTGTGGTATAAGAAATGAGAAGCAGAATGGTTTCAGAAAAACCCAGGAAGACTTATAAGAACTGATGCAAATTGAAGTGAACAGAACCAGAACATTGCACACATTAATAATAATATTTCAAGGATGATTAGCTATGAAAGACTTAGCTACTCTGATCAAGACAATGATCCAAGACAGTTCCAAAGGACCCATGAAGAAAAATGTTATCAACATCCAGAGAGATAAGTAATGAGTTCTGAGCGCAGATTGAGGCATATTTTTTTACTTTCTTTATCTTTCTTGCTTTTTGCAATATTGCTAATATGGAAATATCTTTTGTGAGACTTCATATGTATAATTAATATCATATTTCTTGCTTTCTCATGGAGGAAAAGGGGCAAGAAGGAAGGAGAGAATTGGAATGCAAATTTTTAAAAAAATGAATGTTAAAAATAAAATTTTTAAAAGAAAGAGAGAGTAAAATCCCGTTCAATATAATTACAGAATGTCTAAAATATATGGGAGTCTAGTTACAATAATATATACAGGAATAGTATGAATACAATTATAAAACACTTTGCAGAAATAAAGACAAATAATTTGAGATAAAAAAAGAATACTTAGGCTTGTCATTATAACATGGTACTGGTCATCATGTGTTAAATCTTACTCACCAAAGCACATCAAAACATTCCTGAAATACTGCTTAAGAAATACAGACTCCACAATTTTGGGGTCATTCAAGGATCCAATAAACTCAGGCTATCAAATTAAAAAGACTAAAGGAACTACACCAATAAATTCCAAATTTAGTGAGAATAATGGATGGTTGGGTTAAGTATTGCACTGTTATCCACAATATATTAAAACACAAAGAAGAAGCCCTCCCACACATTGAGAAGACCCTCTATGGAGAATTTGTAGGAGGACAGGAGTATCAATCACAAAAGACGAGGAGGCATCTGAAGGTTGTAACACATATCAATAGAGGCACCACCCACTCACAGATGGAACATCCACATTAATGAGACCATCAGCCCTGGAATCAGTAAATTGAAGGTAATGTTTAAAGATATTTGATGTTTAGATTTCAGCAATGTGAATCCTCCCCATGCTGATGCAGATCTCAGCCTTTCCAGCCTTCATGAGTAGCAGTAGCTGAAAAATCAACCTGGTCAAACAATCATCTGGTGATTAGCCACTTTGCCCTTACAGGAGTTGGATCCCAGGCAACAGATCGCAATGACAGATTACAATGCATTGGTGAGCCTTTACTTGAAACCTCTCCAGCTTGGTATGATCTGCCAGTGTTTGCCCTCCATTGGCATAAGTAAACTTTGACAACCCAAGTTCTCCTCACCATAATGTGACTTTGGAGTAGGACTTCAGAGAATGTGGCTACAGGTAATCAATTTGTCACATGACTCTATTATCTATGTGATATAAGATACAAATCTCATATAGACAAACATACCCCAATTGCTGAAGCAGCTGCTTTTTCAACCAGTAAAGAAACTAGGAAGAATCCTTTGCTGCAATCCCCGCCAGGAAATGCAAATAGAGTGTCCATGTTCCTAAGAACAAGGTGAAATCCCAAAGTTAATATAATAATATATAATATCACAGAGTAAGAACTAGAAAGGACATTAGCGGTCGTCTGTTTCAATCCTATCATTTTCTAGATAATGAAACTGGGCTTCAGAAAGGTTAAAAATACTTGTCTATGGTCTCAAAGTTGGTAAAGTATTAAAGGCAAGATTTGAACCTATGTTTTTATGTATCTAAGCCCACCACTCTAGTCACTATGTTTGCCTTAAGCAGGCCTGTATATCTATATCTATATCTACATCTAGCTATGTATATCTAGAAGTGAACATTTACAGACCAATTTTATAACCAAACATATATATATATGTATGTGTATATGTATATATATGTATATGTATATATATGAATTGTAATAACATCTACCTAGAGATGTAAACATTGTTAAAAAGGAAACATTCTTTATAGAGACTTAACTACACAAAAAAAAATAACAGCTTATGCAGTCAAAAACAATCTATTTACCATCCTCCTCTATTCTTAGTCTAAACAAGTGGCGGGAGTTGACCTGTTCTTGCCATGTCTAGTCATTTTAAAAAGTTACTGTGTATGCGTATGTGCGGTTCCACCCTAAGTTTACTCCCATTTGAAATAATTCCTTAAAAAAAGAATACTTACTCATAAGTCATAGGCCTTATGGAAGCATCCAAGGGATAAAAGATAACAAAAAGAGGAAAAAAAAACAATTATTGCATCCACATACTTTAGAGTTTCAACTAATGTTATTACTATCCCCACAGTGTACTTTGGCCCTTTTATGGTCTGCACTTGTGCCTCTGCCAAGGTCAACGGCAATTTTGGTTCCATCTTAGCACCACTTCCAAGTCACGAATATTCCTAGACAAAAAGAGGAGGTCTGATCCTCCCACTTTGGATTTCCATTGATCACTGCTGCTCATATCGTATGTTGTGAAGATTAAAATTGGAGGGCACACACCATTCCCACTACCTGGAATGGATTCCCCCACCCCAACATACCAGAAGCCTACTAAATTTCTACATTTGCCCTTCATTCCTAGCCCACACATACTACTGTCTATGTGAAATTAAGGCTATACTTCTTTCTCTTTTTTCTCTTTAATTTTCTTCTCACACAAAAGTCCCATGTTAGATGCCACCTCCCCCGTGAAGCCTTCCTTGATCCCTGTAACTATAAGTAATACACCTCTCCTCAAATTCAATTTAATTCAATTCCTTACTTATTTAGTTCCTGAGATGTGTAATACCTTGGACTTAGCAATATATAGGAGGAAATAGGGTATAGATCTTCCCCCCTCGAGAAGCTTACAACCTAATAGAAGAGATAAAATGTACAAAAAAAGAAGCACTATGCATCATAAAATATGATGCATGATAGAATGTGGGAAGGGCAAAAGAGATCTCCCCTAGGTACTTAAATAAGTCCTTATGTGCATTACAGTTGCTTATGTTCATGTCTTTTTTCCTCACCTAGATTGTAATCTCCTTGGCAATAGGAATTTAAAAGTTTTATATTTCCATCCTCAAACATAAGGTCTTGTGCATAGAGATTATTCTTACACCCCAAGGAAACAGGGTCAGAGTTATAGCTGGGAAGAAGCAGAGGCATCTGAGAGGAGAAGATAGAGATCGTATAGTAGCTAATCCTATATTAAGGTCATATAAATTGAATGATCCTAAGTAGGAGACATCCTGGATGTGGTTCTTAACTTGGCATGTGACTTCACACAAGCATAGCTTCTAAAATTGGAAGGACAATGATCCCCTTGTCCTCTGCTATATTCAGAACTAATCTAAAATATGGTGTTCAGTTCTAGGACCCTTATTTTTCGAAGGACGTTAACAAGGGAAAACATCCAGAGGAGAGCAAAAGAAATAAAATGGAGATTGAAAACCATATCATGGGATTGATTGAAGGTAATAGAGATGCTTAAGCAGAAGAGGAGAAAAATAAGGTAGAGAAGGATAGATAACTGTATTCTGATATTTGAAGGATTTTCATATAAAAAGAAGTCTAACTTCTTTCTTTCTTCCTTCCATTCTTCTCTTTTCCTTTCTTCCCTTCCTTCCTCCCTCCCTTCCTTCCTTCCTTCCTTCCCTCCCTCCCCTTTCTTTCTTTCTTTCTTTCTTTCTTTCTTTCTTTCTTTCTTTCTTTCT